GGAAGCCGTTTCTTCTCCACCTTCACTCCCATCATTCGCAGCACGCGCCCTACGACCACCACGGCCATCACGAGTACCACGAGTGCCACGAGTACCACGAGTGCCACGAGTACCACGAGCACCGCGAGAACCACGACGACCACGACCACGACGACCTCCGCGCCTCCTTTCAGCACTCGCCCCATTGCCAGAGCTATTGTCGGTCCGAGCACTAGCTACGGTACCAGCTGCTTCTTCATTCTCAGCACGAGCGCGTCTTTCTCCCCTATCCAATCGTTTCCGACTCGAATCCTGGTTCATTTCGCCTTCTGAACCGCTTTCAGATCCACCTTGACGTTCCGCATCCGCAACTGGTCTCCCGTCCACCATATCAAAGCTTTTATACAGCCTGATAGTACGCAAAGTGAATCACTCTTACTCAACGCAGCCACACTACAGCTCTCGTGCCAAGATTCCAAGCAACGGTCGCGATTCAGCCTGATCCACGTAAACCAAATACAACTCCAATGCGCAGCAGCTCTCGTCCCGCGATTCCCGAACGATTCAGCTAAGCGGTCGCGAATCCCCCTAGTATAAGCCCCACGTTCAAAGCAGGAACGACAGAAATCCTCTCAACACACTCTTCAACCGGTCGCCTGGGGACTCATTCGAGATGGAAGCCGTTGATGGGACCATCAATAGAGTAGGAGAGTGGACGCCACCACCAGCAAGGCCCGTTACATTGAGCCCCTCCATCCCGCCAATCAGCGCCCTCCACGTGCGCAAGCCCGCATGGAAGCCAGGGCATTCCCCGCTCATCCCCCAAAATTTACGTCGGTCGACCTGGCGGGCGCTTCGAGTATGATTGCCCAATCATACTGGGAAAGACCTACTTTTCAGTAATTTTTTGGGGGTTCCGGCCAGTATGATTCGGCAATCATACTCGGCCAAGCATGTTTTAATAATAAAATTTCCCACTCTTTGCCAGTATGATTGCCGAATCATACTACACCTGAAACCAATGTCGTACTACGCTGTACTACGTCATCTCAACCCAACTTCCCATCGGCCTCCACACGTCTTTCCCTCGCCCTCCCTCGCCCTCCCTCGCCCTCCCACGCCGACTAAGCACGCTCAAACCCCATTTTATGACCATTCTCCACCTCGCGATCCCTCGATTCATCAGAGGATTAGCGTTATCCGTCGCTGTGCCTCCCCCACCCCAACAAACACGCTTGGGATCCCCTTCTCTGACCACTGCGCTAATCCGTCTTTGAAAGTCTCGGTCGATCCATTCACCTCATCCGGTTGACTTATCGTCACATTTCCACTGCCGTGTCCCTCTTCAGATCTTTCGACCATTCCCCTTCATTCTTCCAACAACAACTACACTCTTTAAATAGTCTCCCATCCAGCGTCGGCACTCGTCGTTCCCCATTCGTCGCACTTACCCGATTGCTATCCGGCGCCTTCCTACTTCTTTTGTTGCCCCAATTTAAAAAGACTACCGACAACAGAATCCACGCCGCCCTCGCACGAGTCAATCACCACCCCTGCCTTCTACCTAATATATCCTCCCATCCTTCATCTCATAGCATTACCATGGCAAAGCTCACTACTTTTGCAAAGCTTTCAATAGCCGTTCGGGATGCTTGGGATGCTTTGGAACCCACCGCGAAAGCCAGAGACCTTCCTTTTGCAAAGTTCTGCGAATGGGTCCAGAAGGTTTTCGCTAACCGTGCAGAAATGGAGATGCCACCAGCCGTCAAGGACATACTCCTTTTTGTTACCGAAGGCAACGACTACAGAAACTACGAAAAGACTCAGCTCATTGCCAAGCTCCAAACTAGTAGCAATGGATTGTACTTTCGCACTGCTGCCGCCGTTGATATGATGCACAATGAAACCGATAGGCGAGTTCGAGACGTATTCGAGCACACATCACGCGAAGGATTCCCTTTAAATCACAGGCACTTGGTTTGCTCTTTCTTCACAGATAGTGGCCTTTCATGGACGAAGCCTAAAAAAGATAAAACCTACGCCTACAAAACGGAACCTGTCACCCGATTCGAGCAGCTCATTTTCGTATCCGTGATTATTGACATTACGAAGAGCATCAACGAGGAGAGGCCTGCAAAGAAAAGGAAAATAACAAGATCAATAGCACAACCGACCTCGTACCCTCCCAGCTTAACCTTGAGCGCCCTCACTACCGAAAAAGCAGTTAGAATAGGAGCTGCAATTCAGCAAGTGGTCAGAGCGTGGGATACGTATGCTGCCAGCTTCGGTTTTGACGGTGTCGAAAGCATGTTCCTCCCATATCTTCAGTTGACCTCGGATTTCGTTCAGTTTCGGGTCATTCAGTCACGTACAGAAGGCTTTCTCAGAAGCTCGCAAGCGAAGCGATTTGAGCCCCATGCTTCTCTGACACATAAGAAAGAAGAAACGTTCGCACACGTCTGTGATAGAACCAACAGCCTGGATGAGTGCCTACGCACTCTTGCGACAGAGTTCTTCCAAGACATTCATTCAATGACGCATGCGCACGAGCTCTACGCACTGCCATCTCACATCAAATGGCCCGGTTTCGTAAGGTTCAAAGTGCACAACGAAGGAGTTCCTCAACGCTTTTCTAAAATACCGCTTCGCCTTACCAACACAGTTCGAAAGGAGTTAGAGACGGAGATGAGATTGCGGTCAGCTGTACAAAACTACGTACGTACAGCCCCTCGAGTCAAGGAAATTGTTGGCAACATTATTCCAGTAAGACCTGAGCGGTCGGCTGCTGAGACTCCACTCGAACCATTCTCTACCAAGATCCCAGCCAATGGAACTCGCGCCATTTCAAACCAAGCGATAAAGAAAAAGATGGAAGAGTTGGAAGATGCACTGAAACCATATCTGAGGCTGTACCGGTCAAGCTTCGAGGAAATCATCGAGCTGGAAGATTTAATCGCACCTACGGACCCTTTAAGTTCTTCAGGAGCTCAATTGCTTCTATGTGACCCTCCCTATAACACGAGAAGACAGTCGGACAAGAAAAACTCGGCCCATGATTGCCTCACAAATGAAGACATGGACGAGGTCGTGAAAACTGCAGCTATGGTCCTTAGAAAAGGTGGACACGGCATCATTTTCTGCTCGATACAGCAATTCATGACATGGCGTACAAAGTTCAAAGCCTCGACTACAGACCTCGGCAGGGGCCAAAAGAGGCCCACATTCACTGTGGATTCGATGCCCTTGATAGTCGAGAGACATCCCTCAGTCATCACAGTACCCCCGGGAAAGAAGTGTTCACTCGTAAATGGGGCCGAATTGGCAGTCCATATCAAGAAAAACGGTCTTACATACAAAGAGGAAGAAGCGATGGTTAACTACAAGAACTTTAACTACGTCCCTTCAACATTTCCGGCCTTCAAGAACATCATTAACAATGTCATGTGGCTTCTTCCCGGTGAACAGCTCCGAGGATGCAACAGCAACGACCCATCAAAGACCTTTGCTCTCCGCGCAGAGCAGAAACCAGTTGCCCTCCTCAAGGAACTCATCTGCAGGTTCTCTCAGCCAGGTGATATCGTGGTGGATTTATTCGCCGGTACCTTCTCAACTGCCCATGCTTGCATGACTCTCCCCAATCATCGCAGATTTGTCGGGTGCGAAGTAGATGAGGCATGCTTTACTGTGGCTTCCAACCATGTCTTACGAAGAACAGCATCAGCCATTGCTACCAAGGCCACAGATATCAAACTATTGTCGAAGTTCCTTCCTTTAGTTTGTTCTGTGCATGAACAGTACGCCCCTCCAGAGATGCTTGATCCCAGGTGGAACGCTCCAAAAGGAATGCCACCATACCAATGCTTCCCCGACCATATTCTGTCTCATCTAGCATCCACTTGGGATAATCGAGGATTCCTGATTGACTGCATGAACAAGCCATTCCATGAATGGCCCCGTCCATACCAAGGCCTACTTGAACAATCAGACACGAAACAACTTTTGCAGATTGATGCAGCTGCCAACGGTTTGTTCGTCGCAACCTCAACCATCAAGCACCAAATGGCTGGTCAGGGTGTATTTGCGGCAAAGACTTTTCAGAAGGGGGACCTAATCTGTTCGTACTTTGGTACGTTGGTATACCACGATCTCGGAAAGCGCAGGCAGATGGCAAAGAAATATGGCGGCGGTGTACTCGGGGTAGACATACATCGCTACAACAAATATGCGCTGCAAGTGAACATACGCGGACACGGATTCAACGCCGTCAAGGACCTGCTGAACGGTCGAAAGGCAATATGCGTTGTCCCTACACCATTCACAATGGGTGGTTACATCAACGACGCGCGCTATCACCACGACGACGAAGAATTCGAAGCACACAGACAGGGGCAGCTGCTGTTTCCCCGCCCACAAAACGCAAGGTTAATGGCACCGCAAGCTCCCAGTCATCCGTCCCAATTAGTCCAGCCGACTATTTTGGTCGTGGAAGCACAGACCCTAATCAGTCCAGGATCTGAAATTTTCGTAGACTACGGTATAGAGGGCTTCGTCTACCACAGCAACGGTAACGGTGGGGATTCCATGTAAAGTTCCAATACTGACAGGGTCCTAACAATAAAAAAGCAATTTCCTGCACTTCCAGACCAGGTTTGAGATTATGTGATTACGGTGGACATGAAGATGATTCGCTACACTATGGCGGGTGCGTCCATGTAAGACGGGTAAGTCCCTGGCGCGCTCTTGTGGCAGTACATAACCGCAGCAAAAGAGTAGCCCGACCAACATAATAGCCACTACAGTAGTCCCTCGCTATCAAAACTACAGAGTAAAGTCTCGATAAGCTGCGTACCTGATATGATGAACTGTCTCGGTACACTGAACCGGAGGACTATGAGGGAGGCGCCACCCCGCTTTTTTGGCCCAGAATCAACGTTTTCGTATTTCTAACGTGAACTAGACTCTATAGAATGAACTACGCGATACCATGAACATACAAAAACATGAAAACCCCAGAGTTCACTTTATCGAGGCCGAAATGCGCACTAGAAACGAACCATCAACGACTACAGAAGCCATCCATACGATTTTGCCTCAGATTCGAACGCTGAAGCCTCCTTACGCGGCTTTGTTCCTCATACAGAATTGACTTGATGCTCGAAGGCAGCCCCGATTGAACTAGATTCGCGTCCGTCATAATACAACTGAGTTCGTTAGATAGAGCTTCTAATGTTCCGCGATACCGAGCAAGCGACGGTTTGCGTCCTGTCCGGTCTTTCGCTGGCACAGTAGAGCGATCGTCCTCACTATCTGAATCACCGTTAAATTGATCTTGCTCAATGCCAGTAAATGCCGCAAAATCCCCTAATCCAAGATCAATGGCTTGACCGAGAGCTGACTCTTCTGATATAGACTCTGGATGTGGCAGAATTAAAAGAAAAGGAAGGCTGGATCACAATGTGAAGTGGTCCAGATATGGAATTGCGCCCGTCGACGTTGCCCGTCGACGTTGCCCGTCGATGGACAGAGTCAAGGAAAGTGAGTTTGTGTTCCTGTGACCGTATCATCGGCATTGGTGGAGACGCTCTAAGAGCGTCTCCACCGGTGTGGTCCAAATCATACTGTACCCGTAAAACGGGTACACGTGTACACGAGCAGTTCCGCCGCCGTGAACTGCCTCGGTAAGGCGAACTCAATGGGCTGCTCGGAAGTGCCACATTTCGGTTCACGATATCGAGACTTTACTCTGTACCCCGTGTTTCTTACCGAGGTGAGTTTCTCAGAATATTGGGATTTTGAATACATTTACGCAAGTCCGGCCTGGTGGTTGAATAGTAACCAGTGTCTTCCTTTCGTTACTAATTAGCGCATGTTGTAATCATTATATATTTAATGTTAATATTGAGTTTTCA